TAACCATATTTCATAATGCTATTATCAATCATAGGACGTTTTGAGAGAAACCTTGCACCATAAGGTGTGCATTATATCTCACTATTTCATTCATCTCATTACGCTTCCTTCCCACTTGTAACACAACAGGGTTACCTTATGCAATGTAGGAACGTCAGGTCCAAAATACACATTGGTAAGGAATTTGACCTGGATTGTAATTTCGGTTGTCTAATCAGTTATACGTTGTCACTTAATCAACGGAACACGGTTCAATATCGTCGCTTTTCATTAATGTCGGTAGCTACCATATAAGTGAAAACAACATCGATGGTAATCTCATTTCAATTCCATTTAGCTCATCCAAACTAATACACTGGACCAAGAACTTCAAGTCTCGGGAGTAATCCAGATTAATCTCATGAGATGGAAATGATTTAAGACAACGATCAAGTATATATTCATTGTTGTGTCGTGTCTTCCTCTTCTAGGAAAGTGAATCCTATGAACCATGTGATCTGTTGTGCTCCAAACCAAGATAGATTGATTGGCTATCCGTCGGTGTACCAGACTGTCCAACAGGGGCATCCAAACCGTCCAACAAGGGCGGCACACCCTCCAGCAATGTTAACTCGACGTCCGTTAAGTACATATATCCTTGCAGGCATGTTTGTAACTGGTATATGATCTCATCACTTTAGCTAGATCAGAGGAATGCGTCTGGAGCAACATTCTAAAAGCTAGAATTTATCGCACTTATTTATCACACTTGTGCGGTATGGGGATCGAGATCAGACATAGTGGGTAACGTCCATGCAAATTCATGCTGTTATTCAGGAACGTTGACGTTCTTATCTCCCCTTGATGGCGGGAAGACTGTCTTATTAAAGTGACAACCCACAAATGAATGGTAAAGAGATCGCGTGCAAGGGCTCAAAGAGAGCTATTGTAAAGGAGAATCATAATCGACAAAGATTCACATCTTTCTTTGAAGACCCGTATTGGTATGTTGCGGCGGTACAACTTGACACATGGAATGCACACCCAAATGCGTAAATACGAAAAACGTTAGGTTCGTACCCAGTAACCAACTGTAATGTCAAAATGGTTAGGTGGCAATGGGCCTCAAGGCGGACCAACATAACTGCATACAAGATTACATAGCCTCGGCAGAAACCAAAAACTTAGAACGTTCACTAAGATCTGGGCGATCATTTAAATTACGCTTTATGATCGCTAGGCGAGGCTATTTAGGGTGAACATGAGAATTCGATGTTCAATTATAAACCCAAAAGACATTCGATACTTTATCGAAAATCCTCAATATAATATTTATATGGTCTGCATTTTGGTTGGATTGGTCCACATATATTCCCTTGAATCCACTGTGAAAAGAAAGTCGTTTCGTATCTTCGCGATGAATGATATAGAAATCAATTTCCCTAATAAGCAGGCTTGGTAAAGTGTGTTTTGTAGGCACAAGATCCTTACTTCGGGTAAAGAGATACGTCATAGGATCATTGTTTGACCTAAGTGTCCCAAATGAGCATGCCAAAACAAGTAAACTAGTCAATCACCCAGCTCCAGGCCGGCCACATGTGGCGTGTGCCCCAGTTAGGAGACAACTCATTGGCCCCAAATCAAAGCTTCATGCTTATTATTGGAGGTGGTGCAAAGATATTTCACTCTATTTTCTTCAGTGATTTCATTGATGATCATTATTCTCTCGATTATCCTTAAAAACTCAATGATATGGAGAATTTAAGGTCCCTTAAATGGTAATTCAGTACCATTCATACAACGAAAAACATGCCAATGCTATGAATTGAGTTGTATAGATCTGAAGTCATTGTTAGAGATGTGATTTAAGTGTAAAATTAGTGTGCGTAGTATCACATTCATCCAAACAACTAACTTTCTCACATTCCTACCTAATCATGTGTTTAATTGAATTCGGTCACATGTATTAAGAAACTGGATTCAATTAACTCATATTCGAGGACAATATCAATAAGATTATCCATAAGTAAAACAATCGCCAAATGTGAATCCAAGAACATGAAAAAAATGTTTACAAAGTAAATGGTTTATTAAGAGGATTCGGCTAACAATGCCATCTATGTCAAAATTCTGCTCTTTCAACGGTGTTCGGTGGAGCAAAATTAGTCTTATATATTGATTACTAAAATGGTACTCCTCAACAACATTGGTAGGGGCACAAACATGTGCATAACCAATAATCTATTCCATCGAGACAGAAGTAGATTTTATAGGGTTGAGATTTGGAAATATTATCCCTTATTCTTAAAGTTTTAGGTCTTAGGTGCCAAGGATCATGCTTTGTGCATAATGCCACACCTTGGCAGGCCCTGATTCTACCATATGTTGTGAAAACAAACTCAAAAATTGGATTATGAGAGAGACATACCCGAATTGGGTTCGATAAGCTCCAGTCGAAGCTGGAAGGGTTTATTCGGTAAGTCTCTACCGAAGCAGAATAGTGTCGTTTGGTGCACCCCTGCCGAAGCAGGGCATCACCGTTTAGTAGGCTTTGACCAAACTGGGTTGAATCATTCGGTAGACTCCAGTCGAACTGAGTTTATACCGTTCGGTGGACTCTGGCTGAAGTTGCGTCTATACCTTTCTCTCACGTTTATGGTAGTAATCAGATCCGAGAATTTAGTAAACTTCCGCTTTCTACATTACTGTTTCAGAGGTGAGTTAGAAACATGGAAGGACGAGAAAAGTATTATCCAGTCAAAATTTGATCGGATTTATAAACTTCAGAATCGTACTCATTCATGGACGTAATCATGGTGTGTTTCATGCAGTGTTTTTCATGATTAGACAGTCTGTATGAGTGAGCCAAAGAGCCATGAAATCCTCGTTCGGGAGGTATTTCCATTTGTAATGTTTCGGGCATAAGTCTTCGAATGAAAATCATGACGGAGGTTTATATAGCTCTTCCTTTCCATTGTTGGCTTTAATGTTTTCTCAGCTTCTTGATCGTCTAGTAAATATTCACATCTTGTACCCCACATGAAGTGGTTTTTACTAGAAACATCCAAATCAAGGAAAATCAAACTTGTGATGGTTCGATAATCCACTAATTGGAAGGAACAATATTGTGATTGGTGCTATGGGAATGAATCATCCATAAGCATCAAAGTTAGAATATTCCAGTTCTAAGACATGGTTATCATGAAAAACGTCGAGTTTTCATGGGTGTATTGTTTTAAGAAAACTTCAGGTTTCAAAGACACTAAATTCGAAACTATAGGTTCAATTTAGTTTATGAACATTTAGTTTATAAAAGAGAGGTTCATGCAAGAACACATAATGCAATATGTTGATTTAAGTGTAATGGATTTGAGTTGCTTCAGGAACTTAAGTGTGAGCGCTTCAGGACTACGAAAGTGAGTTAACGGTTCAAAGAAAAGAAATAAAATATTGAATCATTAATGTCCAAAAGTGGGCTTCATGCCAATAATTTTGAATGTCATGTCAGATTAATGGATTGTTGGTCACTTTTAATTAATTCAATAAATCGGGACCATTTGGGGTCGATCGTAGAAACAAAAATAATAATAACATTTAAGTTAAAATTATTAAAAACGCTAAATAATAGCATTGGGTCGAAAAACCCATAGCCCAAAAATTTGGGCTGGGTGTTATGTAGGGTCGGCTGCAGTATGCAGCCCATTGGGTGGTTTTAGGCTACGTGCCGTAGGCAAGGGAGCGCTGCTGGCTTTAGGCCGAAAAAGGGGGGCACAGGTCAGGCCCAACAATAGTTGGCCGTGGGTTGGGTCCAGGGCAAAAGAAGCCCAGCTTACTGGGCTGGCTTGGTGACATGTGAGCTGGGAGGGTCAAGCCCAGCAAACCAAGGGCTTGCATCATGTGGGCCAAGGCGAGGCAAGGGCCTAACAAATAGGTCAGGCCGTGTTGGACTCAGGGGTTTGGACCGACGGCTACAGGCCCTAGGGTTAATCAACCCAGATTTTTTTCGACATGCTAGGGTTTTAAAAAAACCTAGAATTGCTTCTAATTTATTTTATATGCTTTGACTCACAATTCCACAACGCAAATATAATTGTGTAATGCATGAAACATATGTATATTGATAAATATATGGAATATATACAATATATATCGGAAGGTAAATATAAATGTAAGGGTTCATGCATCATGATGAATGTTTTCATGCTTGATGGTCGTTTCAAATATCTTAGTTTATTTTAAGCGTATCTGATTGGCAGAAAACGACAAAAGCTTTTGAATTTGTAAAAGATCATTTTCAAAAAATCGGAATTGCATCTCTAATGCGTTGTATCACGTTCAACACAGAAAAATTAAATTAAATAAATAGCATGTATATCAATTCAATAAAATAATTAATTAATCATGAAAAGGATGATTAAAACATAATACTCCCCTAATTGAAGAACACACTATCTTTAGCGCAGCGTCAAGAGCGTGCCGATAACATGTTGTAGGCATAATTTACTAAACAATTATGGAGGCCATAAAGAAAGGGGTTCGGCAATAGTAGAGAGAAGAGATAGATGTGTAATTGTGGGTGTGTTCTATCCCACCCCATCGTGCCTTTATTTATATTAGTAGGGAAAGTTAATTCCTTACCTTTTTAGGATTACAACTTTTAATAGTTAATCAATTCCTAATAAGAATATAAGAGATATTCCTAGATACATGTCATTCCTAATAGGTAATCAATTATTAATAGGGTTTACATAATTACATTCATAATTTAATAATACTACATCTGTTTTTAATTTTTTTTTAATTACTTATATTTTCTACAGCGGCGGCTGATTGAAAGTAAAGATCGCGTGTATAAAAGTCATTTAATCTTAATCCCCACAAAATAACGATTAATAAATCTCCCGTTTTTGTTAAATACCATGTTAATCACACCAAGTGGACCACTAATTCCCATCACATCATCATTTTCTCTCGGCCACCGAGCGCCGCGCATGCACAAAACCGCGGGATAAATAACTCACATGCGCCGGTGGTGCGCATGGAGATAACCTACGCATCTCCAAGCTACACGGACTTCGCCGCCGGATCCTCCATGCCGACCTCCGCCCGTCCCGTTCGAATCATCCCCCTCCAGCACCCCGACACGACTTCGTCGAGCTCCTCGTCGTCGCCGTGGGCGGCGCTGTCGAAATGGAAATCGAAGGTCCAGAGCATGACCTGGGTCGAATGGCTGGCGCTCTTCCTGCCTTGCTCCCGCTGGATTCGGACCTACAAATGGCGCGAGTATTTGCAGGTCGATCTCATGTCCGGCATCACCGTCGGCGTCATGCTCGTTCCTCAGGTAACAATTTTTAATTTTCGTTCTCTGTTTGGTTGCCGAGAAAATGAAAGAAAAGAAAAAGAAAATTCGAAGCGTTTGCTGCTCTCCTCAATTCGGCCAATTCGTTCCTTTATATTCTTTTATAATTTTTTGTTTTTGTTTTAAACCGAAATGGAAGTTCCTGTTTCTTAAGCTGATAATTCAAGGCCTGTTCGTCGCCTGAATATTTAATTTTCTCAGCAACCAAACAGAAAATGCTCATTTTTTTTGTGGTTTCTAATCTTCTGTCGTTAATTAATTATTAAGAGGATAAACAAACCGATTTTAACGCTGATTTTTTGAAACACAAAGTAACTAATTAAGCTGGAATCAGGTTGAATTCGAAATTGTCATCACCGCTATTTTATCGTAATCTGATTTCTAAACAAATGGAAAATCTTGAGATCTAAGACATAAATTCATACAATTTTCCTTCATTTTCTGGGAAGCCAAACACGAAAGCTCTCTCCAATCACATTCTTGTTTTTCATTTCGTCTGTATATGTAACACTATTTATGATTAGACGGATTTGTAATTCTCTTTAGCAATTAGTTGTAATAAATCGGTCCCGTGTGCAAATTGTCCGCTACTATTCTTTGCCGTGTGATTTTGTAGTTATTATGATTTGACTTTCTTGGCGGCCAGGCAATTAAAGACGTGGTGATTAGACAGAAATATGATACTGTTTTATGGCATTATAATTAATTAATTTAGGAGCAATTTTTCGTTTAAAGAAACGATATAATATTGGTTCATATTGTGTTATGAACATATTGGTTGTACGGTTGTAAATCTTAGATGCATTTGTTAAAATTTTAAATCAAAATTATGTTATGTTATACTGAATGCGGCATGTTTTAGATATTGCTAATTCGTGATTGCAGTGAGACCGGTTTGAGATTAAATATTTCATCCACATACTGAATGAGGTATGTTTCTTCTGTTGACCGTTTGTTGTGGAATTCCAGGCAATGTCTTATGCAAAATTGGCTGGACTTGAACCAATATACGGACTCTGTAAGTTCCAAACCGCTAGTGAATAGGGTGACCACTCTACAAAACTCTCTTGTTGATTTATCTACTAATTTATCTGCATGTTTTGATTCTGATTGTTTGATTTTGCAAGGAAGACTCTGGTTTTATACCTTTATTTGTGTATGCCATATTTGGCTCATCTCGTCAGCTAGCCGTTGGTCCAGTAGCATTGGTTTCTCTCCTGGTCTCTAATGTCTTAACTAGCATTGTTGATTCATCTGATGCATTATACACAGAACTGGCTATATTACTGGCATTTATGGTAGGGGTCATGGAATGCATTTTGGGGCTCTTGAGGTACGTCTGCTTTTCCCCTCTTTAAGTGCATGCTCATGGATACAGCATGTACATGTACTTATGCCATCAGAAATTAGATGCCTTGTGTTTTGAGCTCTAAAAAAGTGAAAGGCGAAAACTTGTTGATCATGTTGTTGGTGCTTTATCTGTCATGCTACTACAATTTAGCTCTACCTTGTACAAGTCATAGAGTTATCAAAAATGAATTTCATACTCTATGGTGGGATCCTTTTTGTCCCGAGAAAAACGACTTTGGAGTGTGAAAAGTTTTATAAGCTATACGATATTGTTAGTTGCTACCTTGATGTTGTATTTTGATTTCATTTACATTAGATTCTTTGCTCGTCCAGGCTTGGATGGATTATCCGCTTCATCAGCCACTCTGTCATTTCTGGCTTTACAACTGCTTCAGCCATTGTGATTGCCTTATCTCAAGCAAAATATTTTTTGGGATATGATATAGAACGAAGTAGCAAGATTGTGCCGTTGATAAAGAGTATTATAGCCGGAGCTGATGGGGTATGCTTTGCTTGCATGCCCAAGTGGTATAACCTTCATATCATATTTGGGTTTGAGTTTGAATTTCTAGTGCAGTATTACAATTATTTGTTAATTTATCTTTCACAACCAACTGTTGCTGTCAATATTATTTTTCTTAAATAATGATCTATAATCTTTTGCGAATATGATAAATTATATAATTTTGCTTCTGCACATTAGCAGAACATTAAATATTGTCATCTTGTCGGATGTATCTCCCCATGATCAACAATAAGAATGCTATGCAACTAATGCATGTCATGCATCATGTTTCATCTGTCATTTGAAGTACTAATAGTCTGATACGATTACCTTGTGAAGTGATTCATGATACTCTCTCTCTCTCTCTAGTGGGAATTAGGTGACAACTTCTGTTTTTCGTATAGAGATTACCACATGCTATAATGTTTTATGCCTTGGTATGCCTGAACTGAGACTAGTCCAGGCGCCCTCTACATTGGATATACAAGAGTCAAGCATCAGATGTATAGTCTCTAAGCAAATCGACCATATTCTAGGTTTTGAAAATGGAGTGTCAGATGTAGGAAACTGGAAGAAAAGCTGTTGGATCCCTTATAGATTATTTTGTACACTATGCTTGATGATTTTTTGGCACCATTGCTTTGCCAGTAACAATCTGCACAGCAACCATGCTTTTAACTTCCATTATGCCCTTTAATAACTGATTATTCCATACCTAAGAATTCACTTAACCTTATTTACATATATGTGCCCCATCCTTCTAATACTTGAACCAGATATGCATTTATTTGCTTCATCTACTGTTAACTGTGACTAGCTTTCTGTTTTTCTTATCAATTCTTTGCTAACTACAGCAGGTTTTTTGTTTTGTAGTTTTCGTGGCCCCCTTTTGTAATGGGATCCGTCATTCTTGCAATTCTTTTGACCATGAAGCACTTGGTATGAGCTTATTGTATTCACTTAGTCGGATATATTTCTTAGCATAGTTTTGATTTTAACTTTCTAATTTAACCATTCAGGGAAAAACAAGGAAGTACTTGCGATTCTTGAGAGCTGCTGGCCCCCTCACAGCTGTCCTTTCGGGCACAATTTTTGTGAAAATATTTAATCCATCTTCCATATCTTTGGTGAGAGTGATGTAAATTAGACTCATTTTGATTGGAAATTATTTAATCTAACAATGTAGGGATCGCAATACTAGTTTCTGGATGTTCTGTTTAAATTTGCTTTACTAAGAAATTTTAGATCACATGTTCTGTTTTTGTCTTCATTCTATCAACCAGAAATCGGCAGTTATGCACTTGTACTAAAATCCTAGGCTTTGAAAACTCATGAATCTCATCCAAAAAATTTAGAAAAAAATAGTTCAACTAGATAATTACTCGCTTTGTTAAAATAGCCGCTGTAGAGTTTTTCAGAGTATGTATTCAGGATGACAAGCACCTATTTTTGTATGCCATTTGCTTGAATAATGGGATGGTTAAGGTAAGCATGTGGACTTGCCAGTTGGAATTCAGGCGATACTGAAGATGAGAGTTTCCTGAATAGTTGCAATCTAATCTGGTGCCGGTTTTAAAATTGAATAGTCATTTATGTCAAGGCAAAAAACAATTATTTTTTTTCCTGTTATTATGGGAATGTTTCTTTTGTAATAGCAGGATTCTACATCCCTTTACCATAGTTGTTACCTTTTACCATAGTTGTTAACAAAGGTTCTTGGCTGTTGTTTAGGTAGGAGATATACCTCAGGGTCTTCCAAGCTTTTCTATTCCTAAAGCTTTTGGATATGCTACATCTTTGATTCCCACTGCGCTTCTTATTACTGGTGTAGCTATTTTGGTAAGAGGAGCTCCGTGGAACCTCTTACTTGTAGCTTTGCTTTCTCCCTTTAATTGATTATAACTATCAGTTCTGTGGTAATATATTTTGAACTCTAGGAATCTGTGGGCATTGCAAAAGCATTAGCTGCAAAAAATGGGTACGAGTTGGATTCGAATCAAGAGGTATGTTTTTGGAAAATTTGGAAGTGCACAAGCACATAACCTTACCTCTTGCTCATGTATAAAAACAAAATATAGGTTTAAGCACTTTTGGTTAAAGCTCAAATGTTGACTGCATGCTTGTCTATTTTTCTACATCAGTATTGCTTCTTGACACATGATTTGGTGATGTGTGCTGATATTTGTGAGAAAACTGAACTGCTGACTACTGTTACTCAGACAAGAACGCTTATGCTAATGAATCTTCTTTTTGTTTCTAAACAGTTGTTTGGTCTTGGTGTGGCCAATATTTTTGGTTCATTTTTTTCTGCATACCCCACAACAGGTGAGATTCCTCTATGAGCCGCAGGCAGGGTTTGTGTTTAAATATTTATATTTTTTATCTTACTTCGGCTTTGTGCAGGTTCCTTTTCTAGGTCAGCTGTGAATCATGAAAGTGGAGCAAAAACTGGCTTATCTGGACTTGTTATGGGAATCGTAATGGCTTGTGCTCTCCTATTCATGACTCCACTGTTTGAATATATACCTCAGGTTTACTTCCATGTTATCTCATTTGTCTTTTTCATTTAGGAATGTAATCTTATGCAGCTCATGATTGGTGGCTTTTGTGGTATTTTTGCTATTATTTCAAATTGTGTGCCTTTTAAATTTATGATCTTTATTCTATCTTTCCATTTGAGTGTATACTTTCTATGTTCTAACTATGGGATTTATTTTCCCTTAACTCAGTGTGCTCTGGCGGCTATTGTGATTTCTGCTGTGATAGGCCTGGTGGGTAATTCTATAATTCGTTTGGTTGCTGTAGAGGATATCTATTAGCTTTTATGCAGTCAAAGTTCTAATGATCATATCCTTAAAATATGTATCTGTTTTACCTGAAATCTGAGTTAATGCATATTCATGGAAAAGAAAAGTTTCATTTTGGCTAGTGGATATCAAAGAAAATGACATTATAGCTATCATTGACATGTGCATGTACTATATGGGGACGAAGTGGATTTCTGGATTCTGCTCTGTGACTGTGCTGTGTGCTCTGATATTTCGTGATAATTGAACTGATCACTACCATTACTTAGACAACAACTCTTTTCTATTGAAATTCAGGTGGACTATGATGAGGCTATATTTCTATGGGGTGTAGATAAGAAAGATTTTCTTCTTTGGACCATTACAGCCACTACAACATTGTTCCTTGGCATTGAGATTGGCGTCCTTATTGGGGTGAGTACTTGAAGCAATGTTATTTTTGGGAGACCTTGTTCGAACTTTATACCCTAAGGAATCCGCATTTTTATGCAAGAAAGGCTAATTAGGGCATAAGAACTATCATGTATTGTGTTAAATACAACTTTTTTCATGATAAGAATCCAATGTTGCCTCAGTAGCTCAATTTCAGAAGACAGTTAATTTTATACATCCATGCAAGACAAGTTCTCAAGTTTAGTTTGCGTTAACTTGACATGTATAGCTTTGTCGTGTTCTTTTTAGCTCAATGTGGCAATAGATTACCATGCAAAATTCATACAGATCATTAAAGTTCTAGAAGATCTCTCCCTCTCTCTCTCTCTCTCTCTCTCTCTCTCTGTGTTTCCTTTGTCAAATCATATAGGCTTAATGTGCTTGCATGATTGCAGGTTGGTGTTTCGCTTGCATTTGTCATCCATGAATCAGCAAACCCGCATATTGGTAACTGCAATTTCAATTTATGATAAAAATTCTGTGCACATAAGTAGATGCAGCTTGTTCATAGTTCTTGAATTATTTATTAATTGGTTCATATTTCAACTTTCAATGATTCTAGTTATGAAGCCCAGCTGTTCTCTTATTCTTTTCTATTGTATTCATCATCATCGTCATCTTTGATTGCCTTTTTGAATATCATCGTCATCCCTGATTACCTTTTTGAATATCATCGTCATCTCTGATTACCTTATTGAATATCATCATCATCTCTGTTAAAAGTCTGAATTTTTTATTCCTTGCCCAACGGAAATGACATTGTTATTGTCTGGATTTTCTTTGGCCTCTTGGAGCCTAAAGAAGATGCCAAGTTTTCCTTGCTAGTTGCATCTAATGATAATGAAACCCTTGGCCGTTCCATTAGCACTGGCAAAATAAGATTTTTTTCTCCATGTAACTTTTTTGGGGTTTGCTGGTAAAAGCTAAAAGCAAAAATTCTTATGTTTGTAGTTCTATTTGGATTTTGGAATGAAGATGCATTTCTTCAGTAAAAGCTAAAAGCCAATACAGAAGTTGCTTATAATTTCCTTTATGTTGCAGCTGTCTTGGGGCGTCTTCCAGGCACCACCGTATATAGAAATATTCAACAGTATCCAGAAGCATATACATACAATGGAATTGTGATTGTACGAATTGACGCACCTATTTATTTTGCAAACATTAGTTACATAAAAGACAGGTACAGTATCAGGTTGTGCCATTTTGATATTCTATGAATTTAACTGTTTATTTACCTAGGGAGTCTCTACAGTTGAGTTAGTTTTCCCCAGTTAAGAAGTCATTTTCAAGTAAATTTAATTGCCTGTCAGGTTACGGGAATACGAAGTTGAGGTTGACAGGTCTACCAGTCGCGGACCAGAAGTTGAAAGAATTTATTTTGTGATCATAGAGATGGCACGTAAGTGTTGCTAATCTTGTGCTTTTTTCTTTAGAATTTGTTCTTCTCATGGGTTATGAAGAAGCATTTAATGACTAGATATTGATTCACATGGATGTTACATTTCCCAGCATAATCTTAAGTTGATACTCTTCAATTATTTGTATGTTGTCGGTTAAGATCATGTAAATCAGTGATTCATATATGGAAATATTTCGGGAAGTCATCCATCATTGTTTATAGCACTCAAAAACTTACATGGACTTCTCTCGTTTATATCATGCCTGCTGAGGTTGTTCATAACGTTGATCTAAATAAGGTTCCGGTGATTTTCTAAAGTGTGTCATTATCATCGTTGCAGCTGTAACATATATAGACTCCAGTGCTGTCCAAGCTTTGAAAGACTTGCATCAGGAGTACAAGTTACGCGATATCCAGGTGAGTGTCGTTTGGAGTTTTTTTCTGGTCATTATATAAACTGTTAAAAAATCTGGAGATTGTTATTAACATCATGTTGAAAACCACCGGCGTGCGGTACAGATAGCCATTTCCAATCTGAATGGAGAAGTTCTGAAGACCTTATCAAGCGCAGGTGTAGTAGACCTGATTGGTAAGGAGTGGTACTTTGTGAGAGTGCACGATGCAGTTCAAGTTTGCCTTCAGCGCGTCCAGAGCTTAAAGGAGACGCCTAAAGCAGCAGACCCTTCGTCTGAAGAGAGACTGAGTTCCTTCCAGAGATTGCTTAGGCAACGGGCAGAGGATTCATCGGTATCCGAACTGGAGTCTGGCACCCAGATTAATCCTCAGTTGGAGCCGCTTTTGTCGCGAAAATCTTCTTGATATTGATGGCATGTAATATATGATGCCTGAATTTTTGCTAGGCAGCTTTGTATTCAATCACATCTATCCCATTCTTTCAGCTGTTCAGGGCCTTTGATTATTTCACGTAATTAGGCTCTTTGTTGTTGTAAAATGTAACACATGAGCTTCCTTGTCAAAAGAAAAAAACCGAAAATTGTAAGTAATGTAGTTTGAATAAATGTAGAGAAACAAATTTCTACACCATGTTCGATGTTGTGAACGCGTTAATTCTTCAATCCATCGATGTAACTTCACCCGTGCGTGCTCTTCTGATTTGTGTTTCGTAATGCAAGAATCAATTTGGTTCAGCAGTTCTATAAATCATGGAGTTTGAATTGGCTTACGACAACATTATTTTGTTCACTTGATCATGCATGTCACTCGTGTGTGTACATTCTTGTGTCATGTGATGAGAGATGCAGACACACGGGTTTAACTAGTGAGAAGCAAATTGCGAGGAACACAAACCGAAGAATCCAGAAGGCAAACCGCCCAGAACACAATCTCTAAAACTTTAAAATTAGTTTTGGAAGCTTACAGGGATATTTCTTCTCTAAACTATCTATCCCACATCGGCCGTCGACAGAAACTAGTTCCAAGCGGGGCTCTATAAATATAGGGTGGGTGGCGCTTTAGAAACTTGCCTTAAACTAATGAGTAAGGAAAACAAAGCGAGCGGTGAGAGCCGCTCGCCGCGCAAAGCATTTACATGCGCATGAATTTATGGAGGGGTTATAGGCTGGTCGAGTGTTGACGCTGTTACTTTGCAGAACTCACTCGTGCGGGCCTCCCTATTACCCTCACCAAACCTAGTCTGAATAAATATTGTAATTACTATTATCTCCTAAAAATTGTTTTAATTACTAAAATCACCTCAACAAATGTTTTAATTACTAAAGTCACCTCAACAATAGTTTAAAGTCAGTTCTCATGTTTATATTATAAACATTATGACAAACATTAAGGGGTAGAGTTTATGGAAAGTCATTTTTGAGAGTCATCTTAGCATTTCTCGTATGTTTGTATGCTCTTAAATCCTTTCCCATGAAGCCTTTCCAGATGTTATCAAATCCAAATCTTTAATATTTTCTTTCATTTTGGTCCAAATGTCTTGCAACAGCCAAAGCTTTCAACCCCAGATCCTGAGTAGTGAGTAGCTTCTCTTATAATTCATGGGATTCTGTCAGTCATGTTATTGGAGTCGGTGATACTGGTAGCTAACCCTACTTAAACATAAAACTCACGTGGATGGAAATTCAGATGGCAGAAAAATCATGTGCCGTTAGAGATCAAAGATGGAACATCCAATCATGCATCCTGCTAAACTGCAGAGTGATTTTGTTTCGTCATCAGAAGTCTGCTGAGTTATTATTTGTTATTTGAGACGAAACTTAGAGAGGCAGCTGACTTGATTGATGGGCAGGTGAGCTCTCAAGTGAAGAATGCGTCCACATTTGACAAGAAGAGTGAATCTTGGAGCAATCTACTACGTACGTACTTGGCAATGTTGAAAACAGATAGCCATGCATGCTCCTTGTGAACTAGCTTTCGCCCACTGTGATTAGAGCATGCAGTAAAGGAATTTCCTTCCCTTTTGAACGGTGAAAAATGATTTCACCATACTTCTTTACTTTCTCGTACGCCTTTGTTTCTTTGTCTTTTGATAATTAAAGAAGAATCGAAAGACAGAAAATAGCAAGTATGTGTTTGTAGTATGTACTGAAGAAACACCCTTGATGCACAAAATCTATGAAGACTTTGGAATAACGTAAAGTGTCAAGTTTGTGACCTTCGCTCGGTTACTCCGGTCACTAGTGAGGATAATATGTAAAGAGATAGAGATAGGGAAGCAAACACAAGATGTACCTGATTCACCCTAAGTTTGGCTACGTCTACGGAGTAGAGGAGTTCTCGTTAATAGTGAAGGGTTTACACAAATACATAGGTTCAAGCATAATCATCATTAGTGGGTACTAATGACTAGTTTAAGTACAATAATGACATTAGAAATTAATTGTAGGAGAATAGTCTTCTTTTATAGTTGAGGAGAGTCTCTAGCTTTTGTCCGTGGTCGATGTGGGACTCTATGAACTTTATTCTGACGTTGACATGTGTAGTGCTGTGATTGGTCTCACGGTTGGAGGGAAACTCTTGTGCTTCGGCAATGGTGCCTCAACATGAGCCCCTCAATGGATCCTTGAATGTATGAAGTTGACCAGTGCTTGGTAATTTCGGGATTGATCGAGAATGGTACAAACACAATACTTGTGAATGCTACTAAATGCTTTGAGTCATCTGCTCCGTATATTTTGAATGCTACCGAATGCTTTGAGTCTTCTACACCATTAAATTGAGAAAGATCAACCAACCATAAGTCAACATTCTAAGATGTTGGTTGGTCACTCCTTCCCCGCAAGTTAAGCAAGACTAATTTTAAACATACGATGTCAACTTTTAATCAGATTATTCAGTCACAATGCGTTGCATGTCATGTGACAAGAACTGTCTTCAATGGCGTAGCCACATCAAAGGCTACGGTGAGCTGTAATTCGGGGAAAGTTTGTGGTAATATGTCTAAGTATTTTACTGCATAGTCTATTAAAATAGACAAAAAAAAAAAAAAATCAGCAAGAAGAATTATTTTTAATGAATCTAGCCTATCGAGTATTTACCACAACTAGAAATATAAAAATTATCACGAAAATTGTGATACCATTTTGTTCAAGATTATTCTGCTTTGATTCAGTGGGCTTTATATTAGTTTCAATCAAATTTTTTTTTTTTTAAGATTGCCTTTACATCTATTTTCATTGTTTTGCTTTGTGCTAGTTATGTGATTGTAATTGAGATGTCAAGTTTTTTATCTTCTTCTTGTGTTTGCATCTAAATATATGTAAATTTCATGATTCATTGTAATTTTTGTGGTATGCAAATGCGAAGCTTATTTAGTTCATACCAATCAAATTTTAAGTATACAAATACCGAAGTTAAAACTTAAATTTTTACCTACAATATGTATGTAGCAAAAAAAACATCATTTGATTTTAGAGTAATTTTTTTAGCTAGCCCACTCATAAAAATATTTCTGGCTCCGTCATTGACTGTCTTTTATAAATTTTTCTTAAAGAATATGAGACGAACATTGAAGATGTCTTGATTTTGAGATATACTTTGGGTGGTACTTTATTAGTTGTATAGCTAAGGTGGTTTCAGGCAAAGATGCCCCTAGCTTGTTACGTACAAAAATTTATCAGTTCTATGGTCCCTCCCTCTCATCATGTACGCAAAGAAGAAACCAACCATATTTAGAAAAGTCATACAAATTTGGAATATGATTATGTGGTCATGTATAAATCTCTTACATTACTCTAACCTCCCTTTCCCTCTATAATTCTTGAGTCTTAACAATCTCCCTCGCTCCCACGTGGACTCATCCCCCCTATACCACTACTGTCCGCTGATCCTTTGCCCAATTTAACACGGAAATTAAGTGTGAAAAGTCGGAAAGGGATCATTTTCGGATTTATTTCTTCTAATTTATCAAATTAAAGGATCCGAATCGTTGAAATTTAATTCAATGATTACAAATAAAAGTTCACTTTAAAAATTATAATAATTTTAATTGTTGAATCAATTTTTAACAACTTGAATTTCTTGATTTGATAAATTAGAAAAAAAATCCAAAGAAAATTTCTTTCTGAAAAGTAGACCCTATTAGCTCATTTTTCTGACGTGACATTGTTAATTATTAGGAATATATATGATGATGAAAAATTGTGGCACGTCGGTATTTTTGTTTTGTTTTGCACATCAATGTTTATATATTCTCCATCCTGATGTAGCAACTCTCCATACGCAACTGAAACAGGTAATTAGAGAGAGAGGAGAGAGAGAGAGAGAGAGATGGAGATTCTTCTCCATCATACAAACACATGGTAACTGAGATAATATATTTATAGAACCTTGAAATTCTTATATATTTTATTATCAAACGATAGATTTTATTCAATCAAGTTTAATTGATAAGTTCACATCCTCAGTAAGAACATTAAAAAGAAAATTGGATCAGTACAATCCCAAATAAAAGTTTTCTCCTACAGATTGCATAAAAGCTGAAACAGCGTGTAGTGCTTTGTTGATTTTTAGATGAGAAAACACAAACTCTACATGTTCCATACCACTTGCAAGGTGCCATATAGTGTGCTTGTGCAAAATACCTTCCAGTTGCCCACCAATAACCATTCTTCGATTAGTCATACGAAGCTCCTGAGCATCTGACTCGATAATTACCTTTGTAAATCCTTCTCTCCAGTAGCCCCTTGAAATTTATATATATATATATATTGTTTAATTATTTAGTTAAGACTTTTTAGCTAAAATGGTCCATGAGATTGAAAATCAATAGAAATGATCCCTGAGATTGTCCACCATTCATTATTTTGGTCATTTCGTTAAAAACTCTGTTAAGTGTTCTAGAGCTCTTGGCCGAAAGTTTGAGCAATTTTCAAAGCTTCGTAACTCAATCGTTTCTTAACCAAATTCGACCCATAATATATCAAAATGAAGATAGGAAAGTGTAGAACAAGATTATACCTATTTGGAAGCCCAATGGTTGCCGGATATGAGTGGAAAATAGCCTGAAAAATAACTGGTCCACGAAAAAACTGAAAAACTCCCCGGAAACTGGGTAAAATTTAAACATTCATAACTTCTTCAATACTTAACGAAATTGAGTGATTCAAAAACGAAAATCATACTCTCAATGAGACGAAGAGAATAGTACCTTTCGTGACAGATAATTCATCGTGGTTTGGCTGGAAAACGGCTAGAAAGTGGCTAACTCGACCAAAGACAACCACTTTTGAGCCATTTTCTGGCAAAACCACTAAGATTTAGCTGTTGAGAAAGGTACTACTCTCTTCATCTTGTCAAGAAGTATGATTTTTGTTTTTGAATCACTCGATTTCGTTGAGTATTGAAGAAGTTATGAATGTTTAAAATTTACACAGTTTCCGGCGAGTTTTCCAGTTTTCGAACAGACCAGTCACCTTTCAGGCTGTTTTCCGACCATCTTTGGCAACCATTGGGCTCCAAATAGGTATAATCTTGTTCTACACTTAGGGCCGTCTCTGACATTTTGGGGGCCTTTTGCGAATTTAATAAAAAGGCCCTCCTTATTTAAAAAAAAAAAAAATGTTTTTTGGACAATATATTCATACAAAGCTCAACAACCAATATTCAAAATTAATTGAAATTAGCATCTCACTCTTATTATTTTAAACCAACAACAACCCAACTTTTATTATTTTTGTTTTAAAAAAAACATAAATGAAGTAATAAATTTTGGCATATCGGGTGGAAAAAAAATATAGACAATATGTCAAATTGCCAAGTCAGCCATCAAAATGAAATTTGATATTTTGAATTTGACGTCTCTGTTGGAGATGTTCTAATCTCCAACATAAAATCATGATTTAGGGTTCATCTATGAAAAAATAGAGCATAACTGAAAGAGATATGAAAATACGTTTGTATTGGTGGGAGAAAGTAATACACAAGTTTTTATTGCTAGAGAAAAGTAGAAAATTAATATATTAAATATAAGCTTCACTTAATCAATTGTAATATAGATTAAATCATATGATGATGATTTTTCTGTTCAGTTTAAAACTTTTTTATTAGAAATTTATACATGTGTAACATATAGGAGGGTAGATTTTTTTTGGGACCCCTAAAAAATTAGGGACCCTGTGCCACTGCACTTTTTGCACACCCCCTCTGTCCAATACCATGC